AAAAAACGGGATCCCTAAAAAGTGTCAACCAACAAACCCAAACAGACAGTTTTGGCGTTGACAAAGGTTGGGGACATTTTTAGGGAGCCCGTGGTGTCCTCATCTGATTTAGGTATTTTGTAGCTCAAATTATAGATGAAGACATTCAAATTATTAAGAGAGAAGATATAGACCATAAGTATTTTGCTATTCCAGTAGGGAATAAATTTATTTTAATTCCTATGTTACATAACGTATTTTATAATTTTACTTAGAAAGAAATGGAATTCAAAAATATAGTTGATGGGGAGCAGGAGCTGGATATTAGTCAGGCAAATGGTAAGAAGAATCAGTATTCATTATATTAGTGACATTCTCCTAATTGAAACGTTCTCATTATAGCTAGAGTATCTCGCCGTTTCGACGTGTCCCAGCCTTTACTCGACCGTGTGGCCACCCAACCTGCCGTGGATAATGACTCGGGTACATTAAATTAGCAACATACATATGTTGATTGTATTTTTAGTTTACACTTAAATTTTATGAAATTCAACAGCGCTACAACAAATTTTGGCTGCCCTTGGAAGAGTGGAGACTCGAGAAGAGGAAATATTGAAAAGGCTTTCCGCCGTAGAAAGCGCTCTTGCCGAGAAGGTAGGTTTTTTAAATTTAACTAATGTTTTAACTTTGTTTTAAACTTTATTTTATTTTCAGATGCCCGAGCGTCGTGAGGTTTAAGCGCAGGATCAACTGCAGGGTTGCCAAGTTGTCATAAAACCGAATTCTTGTGAACCTCTATAAATGACTATTAATATATATCATAAGAAAGGTAAATCGATTATCTTTCTTTTGATTATAATATAAAAATCGCTTCACTTTTTTAAAGAAATTGTGCAACTTTTGAAAACATCTATGTGCAAATGAGTAACACTAATAATAAGTAATACCAATAATACTAATAATAATTAAGCATCCAACATATGTATGTATGTAAAAATATATTTATTAATGTTAATTACAATTTTTATTTATAATATTGATTATTAACTATGTATATTAGGTAAAGAATGAATTTTGAAAATAAATTTTGCAAAATAAAAATTAAAAAATGTTAGGATTTTTTATTTAAAGTTTGTCGGGGAAAGTACACCGCCTTGGTGGACCTGTTTAATTCTACGCAGCTTGGACTGCGTTTCGGAATTCGACCGTTGATTGGCGTCCGCTTTGTCCGATCCGGAAGCGACGAGTCCTGGACTTGCTGGCAAAGGGTCGCGTGGTCTATCGTACGAATGCCTTCGACAGGTCAACCACGAGTAGGACCGTATTATCATAGGTCATTGTCATTGTCAAGCACGTTGGTGTGTCTCGGGGGCGGAGGTTGTGTGCTTTACGTAGCATACTGTGGCGGACTTTGCCTCTCTCCGGGTGTGCAATAAACTGCTCGCTAGATAAGCGCGCGCATGGACCCGACGCTGTGGTATTACCGAATGTAAGGGTAACGCTGTACTTACGTTGGGAGAGAGATTTTACTCTCGTTCACAGTTTGCTAGCTGCGCTGGAGAGATTGCAGGTTTTGAGGTGCTCATTTCACGTTTTCCGCTTATCCTGGTTTACCAGTGTACTAATGTCGTGGCGTTAGCGGGGTGGGGTATTGGTTGGCATGCTCAGGTATGCGCCTAGCCTACTGCAATTGGCAGAATTGAGCTATTGGGATGCGGGTCTCCCGATGCAAACTTTAAAATCTCCTAGCAATACTCGGTTACCGCCGTTACAGTTACTTGTATTTTGTTTTTGCTTCTGGTATCTAAAGTGTAAAAAATAGTCTACTTTTATAAATATCATCGCGGGCAACCTGAAATATAAACAAAATTTTAAATAAAAAAAAACTGAAAAATAGAAATTGGTGCGATTTTTTTACTTTGTAAATTTGTTTCCTTCCAGAAGCATCAATCCATACTTTGCAGAACCCAATAATCAACATTTTGCTCTTTAGTTAAGCAAACGTTTCAAAAGTTGGTTCTCAATCGCTATTTTTTGAAGATTCTCATGCAAATACATTTTGCCAATTAAGAATTTTTGTCAAAAAAAAATCAAATCAGCTTCTCCAACGAATTTCTTATTTTATAGGAGGAGCAAAAAATTATAAAAAGATTCTTAAAAACAGGTAGGGCTATTAAAAAGTGGCATGTCACTACGTTGTTTTTGCTACTAACACTTTAAAATGTATATTGAAGGTGTATTTTAAATTAAAATTTTTAATACATCCTACCAAAATCTTGTGAAAAACGCAGTTTCGAAAAAAGTGTTGGTTAGGGCCTTTGCGAATTAAGGTAACACATAAATACTTGGACTATTTGGCGTTGGAATATTTCACCGAGCCGTTATGTCCTTTTCACTTATAATTTATCCCGTTCGTTTTAATGTAGCCACATAAATAGAAGAACTTTGTCTCATCTTTTTTTTTATTTTTAGTATTGTTCCTACGAGACCCGACGTCTATATATTGTATCTGGCGATGGGCCATCACTTCAGCAACACTCCCCAAAAAACTCTTTGGGAAATTCTCATACTGTTGCAACAACAACAATGGGGAACTTTGTCTCTCATTTTGACTATTGTCTAATGTAGATAACGAACGTTGGCACTATTGAGCGACAATATGCACAATCAATTCCAGCTTTGATGAAAACACAGTGATGGACATATTTACAAATATATTTATTATTTTTTTAGACAAACTCATTTCACAACTCTTGTCATAATTTAAATCGCAGTTGTTGAAAATTTTTGTATTTATAAAAATTAATGACACAATATGTATAACTAATACGAAATAAATTAAATATATCTTAAAAATTAAGTTTAAACTAAAAGTAAACAAATTAAAATATCTGCAAGCACGGCTTACAGCAATTTTTTTTGCTTTATTAATTTGTTATTTTTATACAATTATTTTACTTCATAAACTTACAAAAGTACATACATACTACATACATATGTATGTATCTACTATTTTTTACATAAGTGCTATGTACACATCGCCACCATCAATGCAAAACGCGGTAATTGACAAACTTGAAATATTGTAGGAAAAGTAAAACGAAAAACATTTAAAATTTGCAGTGTAATTTCGGAACTTTTTGGACCTACATCTGAAGGTACACTAGCTGAATGTGAAAAAAATGAATTACCGAAAAGATGACAATTACTGTTATTTGCATTAACAACGACGATACTTACAATACATTTTTTTGTTACTTCAATATTAAATAAGTTCGAGCTTGAGTACCTAATTGCTTAAAATACTTACATGCACACTGGACTGGGTCACGAAAAAAATTGTCACTACACGCCACCTACTAGTTAAAAAACTAACTTGTAGAAGATTTTGGCATCAAACAAATTTTCATCATTGCCAAGTTCTAAAAGTAGCCAAAATCAAATTTGGTTCATAACATTTGTGTTTGTCGCCCGATTTCACGAGTGTAAGATATAGTTAAAAATATATTTGTTTTGTATTATGATAATGTTAATTAGCTACTTCGCCAACTATATAAATTTTTACCCAATTGAAGTCAAATTTAGTTAACATATTTAAAATTTTGGTATGTTATGATATACATAGTAGTTTCTAACCTCTCGAAAATACTGTTTACACTGTCCATTACACCCCGAAATCGGTTTAGAAATAAAAAAAGGTTATGAAGAAACTGCAAATTTGCCTATTTTAGGACATTGTAAGAACAATGGGTTGTCCTTCACACAAAATACTCTAAAGTAAGCTTTTAATTTAGGCTGAGTAATTAATTACAAACGTTTTTCTTTCGTACGAGGTCCGGTCCGGTCTAATGTATACAGAATCTTAAAGACAATTACATAGTTCTAAGTAAAATTTTTTTTAATTTACAAATGTTTAACACTTTTATTTAGGTATGTATGTATGTACAACAATTTGTTTTGTTCTGTTTTAGTTTCGTTATGAAACCAGTAAGTTTTTCTCATATTTTTTAGTTTCTACGCCTAACAGCGTGCTTTTATAATCTTACTTCTATTTTAGCAACTATTTTTCCCGGCTCACCAACCTTTTATAAAGCGTCTTCGTCGTCTATTGGTAATTTTTATAAATATTTAAAAGTATTCGCGTGTATTTATAAAATTCCAAATAAACTATTTGCTGTGCTTTCGCTTATACGCGCTACAAATTGATACCTAATTAAATGAAGTTTCATAATAAAGGTAAGTCTACAACGCTAGCACAATTTCTTATATGTACATATTTATATGCACATTAGACCGTACCAGAAAAAAAAAATGGAAAAATGTAGGAGTCGCGTTTTTTAATTTTGCGCCATATCTACGGCAATTACAGTCGGTTCTTAAAGTGTGATATATCGGTTCTTTGAGCCTGAGTACATATTCTCTCGCTCTCCAAAAATCATTAAACTTTTTCTAAGGAAGTGAAACTATTTTAATTAATAATTACCAAATGTATGTGCGACTGAAAAATCTAAAAAGTCGGTCCCTAGGTTCGGCGAATTTTTTGTTCGTTTTCGAAACTACCTTGCAAAAATACTTTTAACTTTTAACATTTTTTGTTTGCTTGTAAGGTGGCACGGTCTAATGCGCATACATACATGTGTACAAATATTTTTGACTACTTCGAAAAACTCAGTGCCCAAAAGTAGTCAACATCAAAGCGTACTTTTGCTTTTAATAAAATTTTGTAGTTGTAATTGTATTTAAACTGTTTCTAGCCTACTTTTCAGCATCGCAATTTGAAATGTTTTTTCTAAGCAATTTTTGCTTTTGGAAACGGTCATGAGCTCTTAAACTGACAACCCTATTCGCACGCCAATAAAAAAGCTAAAATTGTGCTTAAAAAAATTGATTTAACCGCATTATTTCTACGGCAATGACAAAACTCATCGCCATATCAATTGATTTAACTACCTACTGCGCCTAAAAGTGTGCCCCAANGCCTATCACCAATGTGAGCCCCAATCAATGACGGCTGCATCTGTTTGTCCATTACCGCTCCAAGCGTGCTTATAGTCCACGCTACCATAGCCATTTGTATTCAAGTTGTTGTTGTTATTGTTACTATTATAATTATTGTTGTTATTGTAGTTGGTGATATTGTTGTTGGCTGCGGTAGCGACAATCGCAGGCTCAACGCTTTGCGTTAATATTAAACAGCATGTTCGTTGTGTTTTAGGCGGCGCTCTTTGCGCGAGATCCCACCCGACTGTCCCCTGTTGTTAGAAGCCACGCCCATTACTCGTCGCGTCATTCAGGAATGGTTTTTCTTCACTCTTCTTTACCAAATTACCACTTAGCGTTGGATCGGGTCGTCGTCGCTTAAAGAAACCGAGATGCCACAACACAAATACGACTACGGCCAATACGATGAGGCCGCAAATGATGGCAACTATGTAAATCCATATGGATGTGGGCTGCTCGCGTTGCTGATCGAGCAGCTCGGGGTAGGCGCGCGTTTCCACCTGAAAATCAGAGTGTGATAAAAAATGGAATTACGCTTCAAAATTAAATTAAACGTCACTCACCAGTATATGCGCTTCAGTCTGCTCCACCGAANTCGGGTCGTCGTCGCTTAAAGAAACCGAGATGCCACAACACAAATACGACCACGGCCAATACGATGAGGCCGCAAATGATGGCAACTATGTAAATCCATATGGATGTGGGTTGCTCGCGTTGCTGATCGAGCAGCTCGGGGTAGGCGCGCGTTTCCACCTGAAAATCAGAGTGTGATAAAAAATGGAATTACGCTTGAAAATTCAATTAAATTAAATTAGACGCCACTCACCAATATATGCGCTTCAGTCTGTTCCACCGAGTATTCGAGCGGTATTTTTACTTGCGCTCTCGACATAATGCGCACTAAATCGGCGCGTGGATACTCTGAAACTAGCGTTGAGTTCCACAGTCGCGCGCGTATATGCACGTACGCTTCGGTCTTGGCGGGCATATTATAGATATCACATTGGATTTTCACACAAGACGCTGTCGCTTTATTACAATCTAATTCGACTATATCTCGTTTTCGATTGGTGTGCTCACCGCCGATGTCCATGAAGCGTTCGGGTCGTATGATACGTTCGATAGTATTTCGCCGCACGCGATTCAAATACCGATCCTCGTCGTCGTCGTCATCGTCCGCGTCCGCGTCGTATAGGCCCGGCCGCTGTGGCGCCTTTTGTTTTGTGTAGACGCTTTTTTCGCTGTACGTGCTGTAGCGGTTGAAATATTGCGTCTTGTTGGTGGGCCGCATCATATACGGTGCTGGCGCCATTAGTAGTGTATCGAATAGTTCGTCGGACTTCGTTTTCGATGCGAGCTTCAGCGGATTGACATATTCGGGCGCGACGAAACATTCGCTTAGTTCCACATTCTCCACAATCGGCATGGCCTCTATATAGAGTAGCCATTTGTCTTTTTTACTCTTCTCGCTGGTCAGCTGATGTGGCCAATAGATGGTGAGTACGACCTTCGGCGCTTTCCAGGGGCCATCATTATAGATCTGCGAAGAAAAGAGATTATTTGTTTCATTGTATAAATTTTTAGTTCAATTACTGTAATTTAATTTAAGTTACTGTAATTTGAATTAGCTCTACTCCTTACCTGGTATGTGTGCATTAGCNGCTGATGTGGCCAATAGATGGTGAGTACGACCTTCGGCGCTTTCCAGGGGCCATCATTATAGATCTGCGAAGAAAAGAGATTGTTTGTTTCATTGTATAAATTACTTTAATTTAATTTAAGTTACTTTAATTTGAATTAGCTCTACTCCTTACCTGGTATGTGTGCATCAGTGGCGAGCCAACATCTTCCATTTGCATAACTTTGCTGTCTTTTTTCACTTCCCCACTATAGAAACTCTGCTCCGGCTTCGCCCAACCTTGTAGGCTAAGTTCAGCTCGTTTCACCACACGCACTTCCAACTCCGTATCGGGTTTGACATCACCAATAAGACGGGACGTTGTGTTGGCGAACACATGAAAACTCAGCTTACGCTCATCCACTTCCAAGCCACTGGGATCGAAGCGCAGCGACACATAAACGGCAGAATTACGCCGCATTGGATTGCCGAGGCTGCAGGCAACCACTGTGTCATTGAAACGATTGCAGATCACAGAGTTCTGCAAGTACATCTATATGTCAGAAAAATCTAAAGGCTCAAAGAAACTACCGCTGGCTTACCGTTCTTTTGGCTGCTATGTATGATNACTTCCAAGCCACTGGGATCGAAGCGCAGCGACACATAAACGGCAGAATTTCGACGCATTGGATTTCCGAGGCTGCAAGCAACCACTGTGTCGTTGAAACGATTGCAGATCACAGAGTTCTGGAAGTACATCTATATGTAAGAAAAATCTGGAGGCTAAAAAAAAACCACCGCTGACTTACCGTTCTTTTGGCTGCTATGTATGAGACACTCTTCTGATGCACCACAAACAATTGTGTCTCGTAAGCCGAGTCGGCTTTATTCAACACATTCACATTGACACGCATCTCATCCTTTTCGCCCAATACCAAAGCATAGTTATCATCTGAAAAAAGGACAAATATAATTTTCATATATTCCATTCTTGACTCCTTCATTCCAACTATTCGCGGTACTCACTTTCCATATTCAAGTCCAGTTCCGCATTCAATATAAGATCACTCTCGCAAATATCATCTTCACCACAATCCTTTTGGAATGTACCTTCAAATTCAACGAATGCCTGCGTTTGATCTAATATTGGGTTCAATAGTTCCAAGCCCGATCGTGGCAACTTTGGTTCCACAATTGTATAATTTAAACGGAATTTTATCGGACTCTGTATATCTCTGGTATTCTCCTTGATGTACCCGGTAACCTGCTGACAGGCCATGCGTCCATTGGTACGCACTGTCACTGCTCGCTTCACCACGTTGCTACGCTTATTGTCGCGATCGAAGAGCACGCGCGAAAACTTCTTATTTCCACCAAATGTTTCTGCTTCGACTGTGTACAATAGCCGCAAATCTTTATTCGCCGACGCTGGCTCATAAGGGTCGATGGAACAGCAGGCTTCGAAGGTGAAACAAGTCAAATTCGTTGAGGCGTCATGTAGACAACCCGATTTGGCTGGATCAATGTTTCTCAGTTCATTGCCGCGCGCCGTCGTTTGTATATTAATGATGGGACGCGAGAGTAGCGCAACCACTGCTGAAGAATTATATGCGCCCACAACTACATCCGGATAGGAATTTCCATCTAGATCAGTGCCACCACTTATTGAACTGCCAAATGTGACTAGCGGATCTGGCAGTAAACCGAGATCGGAGGCTTGTATACGCTGCGCGGGCTTACTAATCAACCCCGTGCGGGAACCCAAATAGATGTAGACCACACCGTCATCTTCGTAAGGTGCTCCCACCGCCAAGTCTTCGCAGTTATCCTTGTTGATGTCACCGATATTGGCGAGCGCAAGCCCAAATTGACTTTCCACCGTTCCGGTTAGCTTCAGTGTTGGTTTCGCTGGCAGCATGTCCTTTTCATTTTGGTAAATGTAGACTGCACCGCCTTCGGATTTATTAAAGTAAAATGGTGCAGCAACGATAAGATCTGGTTTCTGATCGCCATTGATATCGGCAGTTGTGAGTTCATAGCCAAAACTAGAGCCAAATTGTTCCCCTTCGAGTATCATTTTTACGGGTATGGGGTTGGTATTGGCTTTATTAAAAATCACCACTTGACCGTGTCCGTTGGAACGGGGTGCGCCCGAGGCATATGACATACGATCGCCAAAGTAACGACCACCGGTGACCGCCATGCCTGTTGCAAAATATTGTTTTCAATGGTAGGCAATGTTAATCAATTACAGGATTAGATAATATTGAAACTTATCGACTAGAATGCAATTTTGATGGATGACATGTGAACGCAGGAGGATTTAGTCATCTCAATATCAAACGATAAATCTCTAAGTATGTACATCGCTTGTCCTTTAGGCACGCAGAGTTGCTGAGATTTCATTGGTTACAAAAAACAACAATTTATGTTTCACATATCTCGTCTGGATGAGCGTTGCAGCAAAACTAACACAAACAACAAAAAGACGAACTATATAACCGCGTTTGTTAAGAAAAAGTACTTTCCGATACCGACTCGACTTTTTATGAACCTAAACAGGCGAAAGCCTAAGCGAACTAGTGACACTAGTTAGTCCTTTGTCTACAAACTTATTGTTTTCAAGCGCGAGAAACGATACGCGCCTGGCACCAAAAAAGAGCCTGATAGGGGTTTAGTTGTAATTCAAGTAATTCGTCAATTGAAACCGTAAGAAATTAGACTCGTTAAAGCTCAAATGTGCCGAATATAGATTACTCAGAGTGGTTAGGCGTCTCCCGACACCTAGCGTCTAAATGCACGCTACATCCTCGAACAACTCGCATAAAAGGGTGCACAGCTGCATGTGCCAAAAATTTCCTTTATGCAATTTATGAAATTTTTGTATATGCACTTCTCAAGTGTCATACAGCACTACTTATTAAAGTAATAAGCAAGACGGCTATAGGCAAAAAAAGGAACGCTAGATTATAAAGCTGTTATAAGATTGATACTTTTCCATGTGGTCACCGTATGGTGGCCAGTGTTAAACAAGACTTTATCCAGAGCCTAGTAGGAACGAGTACAGAGGACGGCTCCCATATTCGTCACGGGAGCATTACCTGATATGTTATGTATGAAGTAATGTTAATGTATGGTAAGTGCGATCCAGTCGTGAAGAGACCTCAGATTCGGACACGTAAAGGTCATGGGAACTCTGTCAGATGATCTACAACAACTACATTATACCATTCTTCTACACACAGAGAGGAACGAATGGGAAGGTGCCACATACCTCTGAGACCTACGGAGAGTATGCTCAATCTATTTCAACCTGTGAGTACTGGTTCCGACGTTTCAAAAGTGGTGATTTTGACACAACCGATAAGGAGTGCGAAGAAAGGCCATCAACATTTGTAGACGCCGGGTGGGAGGTAATTTTTGGAGGAAGACCTATGCTTAACCCAAGATGAAACTGCGGCAATATTAGACGTGGCTCAAAAAGACATTTAATTGTCATTGAAAGCCATTGATATGGTCCAAAAAATCGCAAACTGGCTGCGCCTTCAACGGTACAAAGCGAAATCGTTTTTGCTTTGTATTGTCACCGACTATGAAAAATAGATTCATTACGACACCTCAAAGCGCCAGTAGGCATATGTTACGCACGGCGATCCGCGACCATCGACACCAAAGCAAACACCCATAGCAGCAAGGTACTTTGTGGGACCACAAAGGCATCCTGTATTATGAGCTTCAGAAAAGTGGCCAGCCGATCGGCGGGGCTCTCTACAGACAACAACTGATGCGATTGAAGCGAGTGATTACGGAAAACGACTGGAAGGGGCAAGGAACCTGACATGAGCCATATTGGCCTGGCCAAATGTCGCACAAGTTTCAAAACTCATAGCGAAGACACCGGATGGGAAGTCCTCCTGACCTACCTGCCTTATAGCCCATCTTGCACTATTAGACTAGCATCTTCTTCGGTCGATGCACAACGCCCTTACGGGAGTACGCTTCACTTCAGTCGCAGGCAATACTTTACAATAAGACACATCGTACCAATTTTGCACAATAAAGTTTCAAATTTGAGAAAAAATCCGTTAAAACTTACTTGTAAACCAATACACATATACATACATATAATAGATAGATTTAGTGCATCCTTTAATGATCTGCAAAATCTATTTGGATACAGAAGTGGAATGGGCCATCCCGCACCTGATATGCCTCTGATTAGCACTAGCAATCACTTCTTAAATAATCTCTGTATGTATATGATCTGACATTGGTAGAAGTAAGGAACCTTTTCATATTGTTTCTACCTATCAAGTTGTTTTCGGGGGTTTAACCGAGATATCTGCGCGGTCTCAAATGACCTTTGGTGTAAGTGATTCCTATTGGGGCCAGTCTGCGAACCTAACGTAACCTGGGTCAAGTGAAATAAGTACATACATGTGAAACAGTTAAAGGGCTTCAACATTGGCCGAAATAAAAAAAATTTCTTTTACTTTTAAGCTTTCGTGAATGAATATTTTTCTTCTATTTTTTATCTCAACCAAATCATTACTCACCTAAATAACTGTACTTGTCCACCGGTGATGTGTTGTCCAAATGATCACCATAATACATTGTCTTATCGCGTTCCAAATATTCACCGCCAATTTCTGTAACAAAGACAGTGCCGCGCCAAGTAAAGGGGCCAGGTGCGCCTACCACCATGGTGTCATCATCCAGCAGTGCGCCTGAAGTGCCCACCTGACAGAAACCATATTCTTCGTGTTCTCTGCAAAAAAAAATGCATTAAAAATAAAAATAAAACAGTGAAAGAAACAGAACAAAATAAAATAAAATTGGCAATAAAAAAGGAACTGCAGTTAGCCAAAGTGAGTCAGGTAGGTCATGGGGCTAGGGGTGAAAATTCAAGTGAATAAATTAATTCATTACGTGAACTAGCCATGTACAGTTGTAATGGTATGCGCATAGGTATGTACATACGTGTCACAGCTTGTAGGGCAACCCACACGTGCATATGCACACCTTCTTTGCAAGCAGTTTGTGCAAATGGATGTATGTATATATATGCGCATTTGTACACAGGTATGTAGCCCATAATATGAACACGAAAAGCCATTTTGGGGTAATGAAAAATGTACATTACTCCAACGGCAGACAATGCAAAATATTGGAGTGGTCATAGACAAAGGAAAATTGTTTAGAAACACACTGCAGATACACATACATACATACGTAGATGGATTAGAAAATTAGAATAAAAAAAAATAATAATTAAATAAATGAAAAATTGCGCGCTTGCATAAACGAAATTGCTAAGTGCGGCCAAACCTAGAAACTGCTGCTAAGAAAAGTGAAATAAAAACCGAGTTGGTACTAATAAAATAAAGTTTTCAATAAAGGAGGCAGGCGGACAGATACATAGACAAGTTGATGTTTATTTTGTGATTATAAATTTAAACAATTCAAGTTTAATGGCCCAAACACCAGCGATTGAATGAAGTGAGTTGCCGTCGAAGCTGCCACCGCTACAGGTTAGAGTTGAAGGCATTGTTGGTTTGTCGGCTTATTCGCTGTTGCGAATAGTTTTCTAATGACTTCATTGCTTCATTAAATTGCTTGCCCCGAATTTGTTGCAACTTTGCCACTGGACACTAACTGGCAGCCTTGTCTGGTAGTATACGCGGTAGCTAAAATGATTTATTGTGGCATATTGTCGCAGGGTGCCTTTTTGGTTGCACAGATGAGGTGCTGAAATTAATTTTCGCAAATTATACACAAAACGTGTAAAACACTTTACTGTTGACCTCAATGCGAGAATAAAGATACTGATACATATGCGTGTAGCCTGGTTTAAGGTGTGTAATTATTTCGTTAAAGCGCTTACTTTAATTATTCGCAGCATTTTTTGCACTTCAACCAAGGACATTGGCAAGTGTTCCCAGCGGGATGCAGCAGCGCGTCCTTCACTTTAATGAGGCGCCACAATATTAACACGCAAATGTGCCAACATTCAACGGGAATTAAAAAGTTGAAGGTTTACGAACGTGCCGGCGATGAGCAACCGGTGGACGAAAGCGTAAAGGGTCTAGTAGACACATATGTATGTACATATGTTTTTACGAGGACATTTTAGTTGCATTGCCTACATTAAGTACTGGAATGTAGTGGAGCATGTTTTAGGGAATCCCTTTCTCCCATTCAGAGACAGCAATTCATTTGAATTAGTGCTATTAGAAGAGCTGGTTGGTTGGTTAAGTACATTTTTGTAAAATTCGAAAAAAAAACTGCTGCTACACCGCTTACTTATTCCTGGTAATAGCTCAACCAGCCACCGACGGAGCCCCATTCCGTACCTGCCATCCGTATCAATATATGAAATTGCTGTTAATAGAGAGAGAGAGAGAGAGAGAGAAACGCAACGACGACGCTACCGTCATGCGGTGGTGAGTTTTCGTTAACACGACAATCCCATTAGATTGGTTGTATCAGCTGACACGGTCTACGGTTTTACGTCGGTGGCTGGTTGAGCTCTATGTAAATTATAACTTTTTTTTCGGAGTGTGACTGTGCCTGCACTACAGGTTCTCCCTGTACGGGCTCTAAAATTGCAGGAACATATTGACAGCAATTCTTACTAATTCGTCATGAGCCCGAAAGGTATGTGAGACCCGCTGTCCGCAGTTAAAGGAGGTGTTTTTCATCTACATAAAAGCATAGCTAAATATTAAGCTAGTTGTCCTTCTCTATCTGTTCCTTTGCATTCTAACCTTTCATAAATTAGTTAGTAATGCTAAATTTCTTTGAGATATCTTCATCAGATCTCCAATTGAGTTGAATATTTAGATGCTATCCTTAAAATATCCAAAGTAATCTTAAAGCTTTCTCATGCTTCAAACAGTGGAAGGTAGTTCAGGAAACTATGCTAGATAATGGCAACGTGATACGACTAAGTACCTATCGTAGGACCAGAAGGATATCCCAGAACTCCCAATAACAGCATAGCTCAGTCCCAAGGTAAAGACATAGGAGCGTTATGAAAATATATATACAAGGCAATTCGGTGGCCCGGCTTAACCTAACGACCCCTTTTTTAACGGCCGCAATTTCTGCAGGGAAAGAAGCTATATATAACGAATTTAATTTTGTCCTAGTCTACGTTCGAGTGCAGTAAATCTTTCTCCCATCCCTATAGTTTTCTATGTAGGTATAAAAGGTATGCCAAAAGTCAGTCAGAGCTTTATGAAATAGGCCCCATAGGGGTTTTAACCAAACTAAATGAGACATTGGATGGGTAGTACCTAGGTTATGACGTTTTTGAGATTTAAAAGGTTATAAAGGCATACACTGAGTGAAAACACAAACGTCAGTTAAGCAGTTTTTCAGCAATGAAGCCATTATACACTCAGAAAAAATTCGGCTAAATCTATTTCTCTCACCACATGATTTGGTCACTATAATCAAACAATGTAACTATTTACAACTAAATCAGGTGTTCAGAGGAGCATATTTCGTTTAAGTAATTAAACTCTTTTCGCAGTATACAATATTTAATACAAAATTTACGACTTTATGCCACAATATGATATTAATATTGTAAGAGCATAAATAATAGCACCCCCAAAGTTCAATTTGTACGAATGTCTCGAAATGACATCTGTTGAAGGCTACCGGAAAAATGCGATTATATAATGCGTTGACTCTACGCAAAGGTACGCATGTGGTCTTCTTCTTCTAAACTACCCCTACCCCTTAATAGACCTCTATGCCAAATGTTAATTTGACATGCGACGCAAGCAGTAAAATAAGCTAAAGTAATGAATGTGAAGGCACGTCATGACGTAGATCATTAAAAAGGACAAATAGCTGCTTATTTTACACGGTGAAAGCGAATACAACGAGTGAGTGTGGTCAGCTGCTAAGCGTAAGCGTAAAATGGCCAACGCAAGAGAAAGGCTACACAACGACACACATACACAACAATGAAATGTTTTGTTTTTGTTCTTATCTAAGGGCAATCGAGATGGTAACACACCCACTACTTTTTGCCGCCACATTCGGCGTGAAGTCGATAAAAAAGAGAACTATGCTGACTTGCCTTGACACATTTTTATATAACTTGTTGTTTTTTTTTAAGTTTTCCCTTACTGTTTTCTATCTATCCTAGTTTTGCATATTCACTTCGGTTTTTATACACAAATGTGTACTTACATTAGGGAGCATCACCAAAAAGAGTTGCAATTTTTCCACCGGAATTATAAAATATATTATATATTAAGACTTCCGACGAAAATCCCATTATTTTGATTCAGTTTATACAATTTTTTAAAACTTATTTTATTAAAGAAAAAAAAAATAGATTTTTGGAGGTATTTTAAAATATATCCAGCTCATGTAAATCTTAATATTTTCCGAGACAGTAGTCTTAAAATGTAATAAATTTTATATTTCCGATGGAAAAACAGTCCCGATTTTTTGTTTGTATGGAGAGTGAAGCACCCTAATGTACATATTTGTATTCCTAATATATGCGTGAATATGTATTTACATATGTATATTAGTGTGGTCCAAAATAGGTAAAGTCGGAATTTTAATGTTCTCACCCAGCTCAAAGCGTTCAAGGTTTTCTATGTATTTTATATAGGGAAAAAGCAACTTTTCGTGGAAATGCTACGGAATTCTTGAAAATCAATATTTTCCGATCGGGAAACTCTGGTTCACTTCAGAAGACTTCCAATAACAATACCCAATTGTTTATTTAATAATTTTTTAATACTAAATATTTTTTATTTATCACCCCATTGTATTTTCTGTAGGTTTTGGCGGACCTATAAAATATAGTTCCTATGATAAAAAGGTTAAAAAAAATAGTTGGATATTATTACTGGGAATCCCCTGAATAGAAGGAGAGTTTTCCGGTCGAAATATATAGATTTTCAAGAATTTTATACCATTTCTACGAAAAGTTGTTTTTTCCCATATAAAATACATGGAAAACTTTGAGAGCTTTGAGCGACCTCTAAATATTTTTTGCTTTCAAAATAAAAAATAGGGGTATATTTTTCGGTATAGAACAATCGTAGGGGGTGAGAGCACAAAAATTCCGACTTTACCCTTTTCTCATGCATTTTTGGACCACCCTAATGTACATGCATATGTATGTGTGCATATCCTTTGCGTCAATTTAGTGACGTTTGTGATAAATGAATTTGATTTTAATCATGCAAAGGAGTTTTAGTCATTCTGTATGGAATATTTTATCACACAATTTATTTTGTCGCGTCATTTATTCATGAAGCTGGCGCGTAAATTTATATTATGCGATAGCGACCCATTTTAACTGGCATTGGGAAGGTCAAAGGACATATTAAACACCAAATTACTTTTATAAAATATAATTTATGATTATTAGCTCTATTTTTGAAGCTTACAAATATATCAACTAGGAGAATCCTTTCAAGGTTAATTTGTATTTAAGTATAGTATGAAATGCAAAATAGCGTCATGGGGGTGACGTGTTTTACATCATTGCTGCGTAGATATTTCTTCTCAACTACGTAGTAAATTAAAGGTTAAGGTCGGGCTATCGGAAAATGTCAACAAGATGGGTGCAACAGTTTAGATAGGATTGAGTGTTTAATATGGAAATGAAGTGGATAATTGGATCGGAGCCAATTTTTGGGCCAAGGATAACGAGGACAAGAATTTCATTAATAAAACTAAACAACCAAGTGCTTCCTGGAAAGGCCTAATAGGGTGGTAGCACCTAAGAGGGTGCGTGCTTGGAGAAATTGTTTACAGAGCTGCTCCACCATAGTTATTAGACATTTGTGTTTGGTTGGCTTAGTAGTTCAACTTGAGAAAGTAATTGCGACAGTAATTACATCAAAGCATGGAAATTTTCTCGAGGGATTGTTACAGCATTTATCTTCAAGAAGAAATATTTTTAGACTGATTAAAAAAAATACCGATGGAGTGGAGAGCTGTATCGGTATTAATTATCCCTAAATCCCCTAAGACTTCCAAAACATCTTAGGACTATAGGTCTCTCGTCGCTTGTGCTTAAATCCCCAGAGAGAATAGGCAGTATATCGATGGCTGCCACGCTTCATAGGGTGGTCAGGCTTATCGGTGAGTCTTTGGCCTTATAGCTTTTTTAGATAATGTAGGAATGCAAATACTTATAGGCAGGTGGTGATGGGAAATATAAAAGAGAACCGGGTTTCAAGAGACAGGACAAGGGGCACCCCACAAGGTGGCAATACTGCTACTTTTTTGGAACTAAACATCGCCAAAGTTGCCCTCTATGCTATTGACGCTGGTATTGCATACAGAGACCGTTGCGTAAAATCGGACAAATTTGAGGTTGTAGTCTTTTCAAAAAGGCATCCAAAAACGACGATAACTCCACTAGAGGCCAACGGGTCCCGAGTTAGTCTCACGAACTAAGCCTAATTTTTAGGCACTGCGCTAGATAGGAAGCTGGTGTGGAAAGAGAAGATAGCCAGGCGTTAAGAAGGGCTTAAACAGCTCTGTACTCGTCCAAGACAGCTACAGGCAAAAACTGGGGTTCAAACCCAGGAATATTTCGCTGTGTGCATCAGATTGGGGTTTCAGCTATCATGAAGGCTATAAATAAATAAATACAATTGGTAAATATGTTGCCGTGCTTAGTGAAAACCAAGCGCAATTAGAGCTTTGGGCTCCGTCACTATTAACTCAAACTGAATATTCTTAACCCTATATGGGCTCCCAATCTTAGAGATATAGAAATGTATTACGGACTAACTTGCAAGGAGGGCACGACCAAGCAAAATCATCCAGTAAAAGAACGTATTAGTATTCATTTTGCTACTTGCAAGCAAATGAAAGATGGATAACTACATAGCACGCCGCCTAGGACATCTAGGAAAGCATGGCCTCGATGAGATAATAAAATATATAGAATATCGTATTTTTTAAGAAGAAGGGCAATATAAAACACCGTCCGTCTCTACCTTATCCGCACTGTACAGGAGTAGAGGATTGGCTGATACAAATCTTAAATGCAGCAAGAGGAGTGAAACTTTTACTTGTGTGGTAACACAACAACCCTTCCACTTTAGTGTGCCGCAGCTGGGCACTGACAGTCACACCTCTCTTCCTACTTTCCTTCTATAGAAAATATTTAAATATTTTTAATTACAGCCCGATGCAAGTTTTGTTTTTATAAACAGTGGGTCTTGCTTAAAGACGTCTCCTTAAGTGAGACATAATTTTTTTAGTGAAATATGATTTCTGTATGGGAAAAATTAGTAAACCGCTAATTGCTTACTGCTTCAAAGGGTATATTTTCATTCGTACTCCATCTCCAAGCTGATTCGCTCATATTGGAAGGAAGGGACTCAACAGCAAAAAATTAATAAAACGAAATGCCCAAAATGAACGCAAGCATGCTTCCTAACATAAATTTATGTTTGTTTACATACATAAACATTTAATTTTTTGTCCAATTCCAATTTTCTATTAACCACAAAGGGAGTGAATTATAACGTTGGTATCAGAAAACAATCGAATACTCACCTTTGCACAGTGCGCCCTTTGCATGGCTCATACACTTCATCATAGCTCAATTCATTGGTCAAGACATAGCACAATCCTTGGCCATAACGATTATCCAACACTGTGGTGATGTAACGATGCGCGCACACGAGTACCTAGTGGATAAAAGAAAACAGTGAAGAACAGAAGAAAAGAAAAGAAAACAATAAAAGATTATAAATTTGAGAATCAAAGAAGTTACATCATAACAAAGGTGATTATTATGTTCTGAAATAAAAGAGGTTAACCCAAAGATATTTAATTTACGCAGTTCCTACTTCAGTGCGCACAAAACAAAATAAATAAACAAAAAAAAATATACCTTTAGCTCGAGTAGGTACAAGATTTATCGGCTACGCTATAGCTAAAGAAAGCAATGTTTATGTATCTTAATTAAGTCATTAAGAGTGTTTACGTAGAACGAGTTTATGACCTTATACATTTTTCTGTTGATGTTTCTTTTTTTGAATTTTTCTTTTACTCTTTGAATCGAACGGTCAAAAGGTTAAGTATTGTTGAGGTCATCAGATAATTTAATGTTAAAATTGAATATGTACATATGTATTGAAAGTCAATAAATGCCAGCAGTTATTATTTAAATGATTTTATTTTATTGTTGAACATGCTTGAATCATATTCTAGTACTAATTTGGAGTTTCTAAAATTCACTTTGAATATTTTAATCTTTTAGTTTTAATTTTAAAAACTCATAAATATTTCCAAAGTAATTCTAATTAAATTTAACCTAACTCCTATTAATGTTCTCAATATGTATCAGTTTTGATATTATTTTTTTGTGGTAAAATGTGACTTTTTAGATTATAAAGACTACACAGAATTAAAATTGAGAATTCGGAACTCCATATTTTGAATATGTACATATGTAAATTATGTACATACAGTGGGAAGTAAAAATTAGGACATGAGGATTTTTGTCAAATATTTTCATGGTTTTTAAAGTTAAACTTTTTTTGCTCTTTTTTATCAAACTATGGTTCATGCTTTAACCAAAACCATATAGGCCTAGCAAAATTCAACAAATTTTCATTAAAATTTTTAATACATATTATCTAATTTTTAGAAAATTTTTGGGTAGATATGCAGTTTTATAGCCTGTTGAATTTTAGTATATTACAGTGCAAGTTTTAAGCGGCGGAAATATCGTTGATTTTAAATATGTTTTTTGTTTTTGCTGACGCCTTTTTAACTTTTTCTCATATAAGCATAAGAAAATTAAAAAGAAATCTATGCCAGTTTCTATAACACAAAAAAAAAACAAATTAAAAATCAATGCGATTCTTCAGCCTCTTAAAACTTGCACTTTAATACACTGAAATTTAATAGGCTATAAAACTGCATACCCAAAAATTTTATAAAAATTCAGATTAAAAACTTCAACATTTTAATGCAGATTTGCTGAATTTTCCAAGCTCTGTATAAAGTTTAAAAGTTTGATTTATATGGTTTGGTTAAAGCGTGAACCATCATATTTTTATTCAAAAACTAACAGAAAAATTTGAACATTTAAAACCTTGCAAATACATATTAACAAAAATCACCATGTATGTACTCATTTTTGCTCTCCACTGTATATTTTATAAGGAAATTTGATATATCGTTACCTAAATTAATCATCTGCATGTAAAATGTTTATTCATTTACCTTTCCACCGAGTCCTTGCGACCGCACAGTCACGCCCAGCCATTGGCCCTCCTTGATTTCATCGTCTGATGGCTCCTGCAGTTCTTCGATATCGTCGCTATCGTATGCTATTATATCAGAAAGCAAATATTGTGTGCAACAACGCAAATACCATACAACAACGTGTGCAACAATCACAAAAGGTGGCATGAGCAAAAAAAAAATAAAAAATAATGGAAGGGGAAAGAGAAAAGAAAAGAGAAAAATGCAAAATTACATATTAGTTAACAATCAAATATTTTTGTAATTATTTAGTATACGATTTTTGTTTGAATATTGGTTGCACGCTGATGAATTAATTAATAACAACAACAATAATGACAAACCAAGAATTTCATGAAAACGATAACAATAAAAAATTAATTGCGTTATAACTACCTACAATCGAACGATGTTAAGTATACGAAAAGAAATAGTGAATGTAAAAGTAACGGGAGAAAAAGTAAACTTTAACGCAAATATGTGTGTAAGGCAACAACAATGTGTGTGTGTATGTATTTTATGATTCTGAATTACTTCAAATTGATGCTGAGTAATAAGTTGTTAAAAATGCGTTAAAGAAGAATGGTCCAGTCGTAACAAAATTAACAGAGATAATGACACGTTTAGCAATAAGAAAAAAGAATGTGCTTAAATACAATCAAATGTGAAAAAAACAGAAAAGCCTTGAAAGTAAAAGAATAGCAGTTTATAAATAGAACGGTGAGCGTAACATGAATTTCGAAGTGATGATGATGCTTTTGACACCATCATAGTTAATGACTACCGTATTTTATTTGATTTGTTGACTGAAAAGAAATGTGGAACAGCAACAAAAAAAGTCAAGCAAATAAAAAGCGATTACAACAGTGAATGCACTTGAATGCACATCCGATGAATGTAAAGTGAAAATGCACTGCTTGAAGAAAACGAAAAAAATTTTAGAAGACGTTGAAACATGCATTAAATTTTTTTATTTGATTATAATAATTTAGGGTGATACAGTTCTTTGACAGCGATTAAATATTTGTGGTATGTTAATGTTTTTTTTTTCTAAATTTTTTTTCAGAAAATTGGTACTACAGGCTTTGGTAAACTTAGGGAACGTACCCATACTACGTGACCCACTTTTTGCAATTTTTAACCCATTCCTTTATGACACACAAGGCCTCCTGTGGTCTCCTAGAGAGAACCCGCAGAGGTCGCACGCGAGACACGTCATCCACCGCACCACCATGCACGTTTTTTCGATGGTTGTTCAATCAGCTGACGTCTGTTCGTCAGTGTTGCCATCTGTGGGTTTAAAAAGCGACAAACACTGCGCGCCATATTTGAATGTAGCTCGAAAAAAACGCTAGATTTTCTTAGTGGATATTGACTACGTGATAAAAACCTAAGCCCCCCGCCCCCCACTGTGACCAAGTGTGGTATTTGGAAGATCCCCCTCCCCCCCCTGAACGGGTCACGTAGTATGGGTACGTTCCCTTAGTCATGGTTTTATGAAATTTGTCTTTCTATAAGAAGTGCCTTTCCCGCCCTGCATTTTTTCCGTGGACATAAAGGGTCATACGAATCAGCCAGTTGCCTTAGAAATTCAAAAAAAAAAATGGGTCGGTGCAAAACGTAAAAACATCCGTCCGCCTTTGTACAGGCCGTTCGGCCGCGACAACCTCAAATCGTCGTCGTGCACAGCAAATGAACCTTCCCTACGGCACCGTTCGGCGGATTTTATCAAAAAGACTTAGGTGTACACGCCTACTGAAGCCTAGAGACCATACCGATATTTACCAATTAATTGCTCGAACAACAAGCAGCCATTGCCAGTTTTTCACAAAAAGACAAGCAACACTTTCACATTTAGGGTCCTGCGATTTGACCCCATTGGACTTCATTCTCTGGGGCTACGCGAAAAGTATGGTCTATGCGAATATGCCCGAGACGATTCCAGAGCTGAAGAAGGTTGAAAAGTGTATAAAAAATGGGCTGTACTGGCACAAGCAAACGTAAAAAACATTAGACTAGGGCATTCAGTGTACGACCCGCGGGAAGAGAAGAGCGAGACATCAAAATACCTTCTTTATGAGCGCTGTTTTCGTATCGATAAAAAAAATCATGCTAGAAGATCGTTGGTCCCATCGTAGGAAAATTAAAGATCCACGGCGATAATACCATATAGCCAGCATATACGCCATTTGACTCTCATATAGCCAGCATATACGCCATTTGACTCTCATACCTAGGAACCTTCCCTCTAAACCGATATTTTACAGCAGTGGGACCATGCGTCCCGTTCTCTACATACTGCCGCCAAAAAAGTAATGGGATTTCAGAACTGAAGATATAAGGAATGTAGGGCAACTGCAGAAAACAAGATGCCTCCTACAGAGCCACGCTGTGATCGGGCTGAAATACGTGAGAACGAAGAGTTGAAATTCTGTCCCATAAGAAAAAACGGTCGGAGAGTTTGGAAGGTTTAAATACCAGAGTGAGTTCCTGTTAGAGCAACCACGGCGACCTAGTGACTGATGTCCACAAGAAGCTAAAATTATGGAGGAAAAACGTTTCATGTCTATAAAAAGATAACAGCAGTGAAAGCAATGGAGAAGATGAACACAAGCTTTGACTATTTTTACGTGGTACGACTAGCAATTCTGCAGTTGAAAAAAAACTGCTGCAGCTGTTCGCGTCAAAGTTTGGACAAGACGAGAATATAATCTACACCATTTCTTTGACGATTTTAAGGTCGCCTTCGATGGCGGTGCAAAATGTCGCTGAGCAACGCAACCACCTCCGTCAGAATTAGGGAAACTCCTCTCCTAACTGTTTAATTACAGGCGTCGTTCAAAAACCGCACTATATAAGCAACTTTTAATGCCTGTGTTGGTATATCGCACAGAAGCACGGACCGTTGAAGTATTCGAGAGAAATACTCGGACGGTGAATATCGCAGACGATGGTACGAGGACCGTATGAGTTTTTCAACAGCATAGACATGGCGAATTTAAATACAGCGGCTCCGCTGGCTCGGACATGCCATACGAATGCATATGAATGCTCCCGCCAAGAAAGTATACAATAAGGGTCGCGATGCTGGTATAAAAAGAAGAGAAATGCATCCAGTCATTAGCCACATATGAAACACAAACAAGCAAACAGCGCGAAGAAAATCAAATTAAAACACTGTACAAACCAAAATAAATAAATGATTAATGATTATTTGTTGCAGCGGAACTATAAAACAATCAAAATTGAATGAAAGATTGAAGAAATAAAGCAGGAAAATACGTGCGATTCATATTCATACATACATACTTTCAAGAGCAACAACATTAGCCAGCAGTAAGCTTTGAACATTTTATTAATGGAAGATGCGAGCGAATCGGAAGAGAAATGAACTGCAACTGATGCAGTTTAAAGCGTAGCACTAGGCACAAAACAGATGGCTGTTTTTGTTTTTTTATTTATAAGCACAAAATTTGTAGTACATAAGTACATAAAAAAATATCTATATACATATCTACATATTATGTGAGCATAGCAACGGATTTTGAAATTGTTAAACTTTAGTAGTAGGTATGTATATTTGCATGCAATATGTTTGTAAATAGATGTATGTCCATGGCATCTTTTATGTAGGCGCGACCGGATCATAATTTTTGTAGCCCGCTTCTCATTTCTCCTGAAATAAACTGCTGTTGCTTGTTGCTGCTGCAATTTCATTATGTTAAGTGAAAGCGCTGCCAGCATAAAATGATTAACTTTGTTTGGTTGCATGACTGTTTGGATACGATTTTGTTGATCGTCTTTGTTTTGAAGTGACTTTGTCAACTTAAGTCATTGCTTAAGCCCACACACGGTCACTGGATGCGGCCGCAACACACATGCGCACATTTGCACAAATGAAGTTGTAAGTGAACGCAATAAATCTACATACATATGTAGATGCTGCAGTTGGCGATAAAAAAAATAAATAATTAAACTGACTTTTACCAGAGGTTTGAGTGATTGGTGCTGCTGTTGCAGCTGGTTAAGTCTATGTTGGCGGCCAAAAGTTTTAATCTCCTGCGTTTACGTATAAACAAACATACATAGATATGTCCCCAGTGGGAAGAGTAGTAATGATAGAGTTTGCAGGACGAAATTCAACGATGTGGTTGTATGTATATTAATACTCAAACAATCATTTTTTTTTTTAAATAAAGATTGCCAATTTTCAAGGATACTTAAGGACCAAAGGACATTTTCCATACCCATTCGTCCTTATGCACCAAAAATGTATTCTGTTATAATTCTACAGAATTTTTCTCTTATATGATGCCCTTGTTGTTATTCTACATTGCACAAAATTATTTAAACAAATTTTTGAAATAATCATATTTTTTAAATTTCAAAGTGCTTTAAAAAAATCCTGACGTCAGAGAGAAAAACCAGGTTCGTAGTTTTACTATAATTTTCCCATTGTTTCGCGAATGTATTCAATTTTTTTGTGTGGAAAATTTACTGTCGCACGGTATAATTTTTTCGATTACCATACATTACATTTTCCCACTGGGTCAGTGTTAATGTTTTGTCTATGTAGAGGCGTTTGGTAAATAATGGTTTGTAAGCTGATCAGCGAGAAATTTGTTGTAGTATATAAAAAAGTGTGTATATATGTAAATATGTACATATGTATGTATGTGCTTAGACACTATAAAACTATACAAATGTGTTTACGTAGATTAAACAAATCTGTGAAAGTGAGATTTTTCCTAGCATATAGAAAATGCACTGTATTGTAGCTAAAAAAAAGAAGCACGAAATTAGTTAATATATGGAACTTTTGTTCGAAGGCCATCATAGACCGAAAAGAAATTAAGAAACGTAAGAGAATGTGACTTAATTAAAATATTTAGTACATAGTATTATGAGGCGAGATATGGTTATGCTCATATGTAAACCATATACTGTTATGTTTTATACAATAATTGTTGCTTCTCATTGTGTTTTTTTTTTGTTTAATGGAAACTAAGTTTCTTGTAACAAATAAACAAATCTATTTACACGTTTTAGTAGTTCTGAAAGAAATATTAGTTAAAACCAGTACGTT